AGGAGGATTGTAAGTTTGAGGCCAGCTTCAGTAACTTTGAGAGATCTTATCTCAAAGTTAAAAAAAAAAACCTAGACTGTAGCAGCACAGTGGCAGAGTGTCTCTGGGTTGATTGATAGTACCCAAAATAATAATTCTGCACTCAGATGAACTAGGAATTCCTGAGATGCTGCTGTACCTGTTCTTGCAATGGGGTATGGTACTGATTTGATTGTGTTAATCAAATTGAGTTTCATTCCTACAGATTCTGAGGCAAAGAGAATAAAACTATTGGGAACATCTTTGTGCCAGAATCCTACAAAATAATTTTGAAAAGATTTAGATCTCCTATATATTTTATGTCTTTTTTTTTTTTTTTTTTTTTTTTTGAGACAGGATCTCACTAGGGAGTCCAGGCTGGCCTCAGACTTGCTATGTAGCCTAGCCTGGCTTCAAACTCGCAGTGATCCTCCAACCTCAGCCTCCGGAGTGCTAGGATTACAGGCGTACCCCACCATTCTTGGCTTCCATTTCTTATCATAAATTTTAATAATTGCAAAAGATATTATTTTTGGTGAATTATAAATTTTGACATTTGAAAATAAAACCTCGTCCCAATTTCCAAGATATATAACTGTAGTTCCGTGTACCTCCTTCCCACTTTCTTTATCCTTTCAGTAACCTATTAGCACATCAGTCCTCCCTTGATCCTACCCCTTCATTTAACTGTGTCTTAGTTATCACAAGTATGTCCTAGCTAACATCCTCAGAGTCCTCACTCTCTGTCTTCTACATATTTCCCCAGATTCCAGTCTCTCCCAAGGATGCCAAAAGCACTACTGGAGATGCTCAGGAGAGTATGCGAGGTGGTACCTCCTTACACTGATGCTTTCTGTAGTCTCATCAGGAGGTTGCAAGGTTAAACAAAATGATGTCCGTAAATTGCTTAGTGCAGTGCCCATCATCCTTTTGCACAGCAAACTGTGAGTGCGTGTTTACTTATCTCCTCTCCTTCTGTATCTGTCCCAACATTGCACATTATATTGAAGTGAAAATATTCTCTTTATGTTTCTTACTCCTCTTATGTATCCTAAGCTCTGAGGCTTTGTTGCCCATCTTCTGCAGTAAGGGGGTATATGAATGCTTTCTATCTGTGGGTTCCTGAGTTATCGAATGGATACCAATTTCTAGATCCTTCACTTCAGTTGTGTCTGTGTGTTCCTTGCCAATGACTTACCTGCTTGTGTATGGGGTTGTGACCTCTAGGTTTCTCTTTCTTGCTTTTTCTTTTGCTGTTACTATTTTCTTTCCTCAATAAAAGGAAGACATATGTCTTATCTCTTCCCTCAAAACACTTTTGAAGTGGCACCCAAAGGTGCAGTTTGCTGAGGGTGTGTATGACTCTTGGACTTTTTGTAACAAGTTCCAATCCATGCTTCTAACGAAAATTTAAAAAGAACTACTCAGAATATTAGCTGATAAAAGGTTTAATAATATTTTACTAGAAATCACAGTTATTTTTGGCACTTACATTCAAAGAATCAGGATGTTGCTATTACAAGAGATTGCTGTAAACTGATTAAGACAATTTGTGTCACATCAGGTCCAGGCAGTTACTAGTATCAATCTGATACGCATAATCAAAATGTGGTTTTTAAAGTTTCTTTTTTCTAGAAATGTGATTTTTTTTTTAAATTCAGGGAAAAATATCCAGTTACTTATACTTACCCTGTTTACTGTCAGGCATTTAGGGGAGGGGAAGGGCAATCAAGTGGAAAGTAAAGAAAAAGAAGTCATAAGAAGAACTGTAATTCCGCTGCTTATATAACCAGAGCTTGGGTAGAGATGGATGTACCAGACTCAAAGGATAACTCCAGGCATTAAAATTAGTAGTAGCTTCCAAACGTGACTGTTTAGGAGAACCACTCAGGGCAGTTATTAAAAATGAAGGTTGCTTGGTGTCTCCCTAGAGATGTTGATTGAGAAGTCTAAGATATGACCTGGAAATCAAGGTTTTTTGTTTTTCATTTGTTTGCTTTTTTTCTAATGTATCAGGTATTGAACCCAGGGACTCACATTGAGTTATATTCCTAGCTCTTTTTTTTCCTTCTTACTGAGTATAATTGACAGATAAAATCATACAAAGTATGATATTATATTCTGAGCAAATTTTAATTCTTTCATTCAAAAAAGTTTTATAATAGAATAAGTCAAAAAAATACTCTTGGGGATTTAGCTCAGCGGCATAAGCGCCTGCCTTGCAAGCAGGCAGTCGTGAGTTCGATCCTCGGTACCTATAAAAATGAAAAAGACAAAAAAAAAAAAAAAAAAACAACCAAAAAAAAATACTCTTAAAAGGAAAAAGTGTGCTTAGTATCACACTCCAAGGGACAAATTAAAATAATTAAGTGAACAATATTCTAGATAATTTTGTGATACCTCTGTATTTTTTTAATTTTTTATTTAGAGACAAGGTTTTTTTGTTTTTTTGTTTGTACTGGGGATTGAATTTACCACCTTGCACTCACCAGGCAGGCATTTATGCTGCTGAGCTAAATCCCTGGTGAGATAAGGATTTTTTTTGGTGCTGGGGATTGAACTCATGACCTTGTACTTTCCAGGCAGCCAGACAAGGTTTTACAAAGTTGCCTAAGCTGGCCTCCAGTGTGCACCACTTCACCTAGAAGTAAGTATTTTTAACAAATTTCCCAGGGAGCTAATCTAGTTCGAGGCCAGTAATTGTTATTTAAAAAGTATTCATTTAACCAGATCTTCCTATTTTGATTTCAGGTCTGCTAAACAATTTTTAGTGTTTCTTTGTGTTTTTTGGTGGTATTCCACGTAGATTTTCATCTAGGCAGTGTGATGCTTTTGAAGTGTTATTCCTCAGTGTCAAGAGGTATCTGGTATATAATCAGTATTTTGTGAATGAGTTTTTCTGAGACTTGTCTGGTAGGGTGCACGTAAGAAACAATTCAGGTCTGCAGAACTGAAGATCTCGTTCTAAACTACGGACACAGTAGAGGTCTGCATGTTATCCCCCAAACAGAACCAAGAGTGATCCACCTCCTCTCCTCATGGGATACCTCTGTCTTCAGAAATAGCTCATTTTAGACTTAGGAAAGTAAAGAAGTAATAGACAGAAATATAGGAAATTGTGTTTGGGAATATAAATTTAGGTTATGAAAGAGTTTTTCTATGTGAAAATGAAGTAATGTATAGCTTTGCCTCTTGGAAAATCAATCAAATGAAGGTTGGCTTTGATTTGTATGAGAGGATGCATTCAAAGTCATATATATATACAACTTTTTTTTTGGCTCAAACTCACAACCTTGTGCTTGTTAGGTGGAGGCTGTGCCACTGAGCTATATCCCTGGGGTATTGAACCGGGGGACTCATATTGAGCTATATTTCTAGCTCTTTTTTTCCCCTTCTTACTAAGTATAATTGACAGATAAAATCATACAAAGTATACAACATTATATTCTGAGGTACATATACACTGTGAGATAATTATGATAACCAAGTAATTGATTATACCAGTATTATGTCACTGGCAGAATTCAAAGTAAAAAAATAATGTGTGGAAGGTCAGACTCTGTTCTAAAAGACTTTCTTTTGGGTAGGTACTGGAAATTGAGCCAAGGGCTTTGTGCCTGCTGCTAAGCAAGTTCAGTACCACTGGACAGTTTTTATTTTGAGACAGGATCTTACTAAATTACCCAGGCTGACCTTGACCTCTTGATCCTTTTGCCTCAGCCTCCTGAGTAGCTCAGATTACAGGCCTGTAGGAGATATGAGGATGAAAAGGAAAAGCCAGAGAGGGGTTGGGAATACATAGAAACTGAAGTTCCAGACAGTAGAACTTGACCTTGCCTGGGTATCTGAGAGAAATTTATTCAAACTATACTCCCCAAATTGCATGGCACCAGGGAAAAAGATAGCTAAATTCTGTATAGTGGGATCATTAGAACTGTACAGATACAATTGTTTAGAGAGGCCCCAGAGTAGAATGATGATAAATAACCAATATCCTTTAGATGATAGGCGGCTTGGGAGAGGACAGTATAAAAGTCAACCAAAAAGCCACTACTTTCCTTTCCCTTATCACTTCACCCCAATCTTACCTTTTGGGGTCTTCATTTCTTCAATAATCTCATTTTTCTCTTAACCTCTGTCTCTGTTGGTACCGTCCCTTTGTCATGCCTGCTTATAGCCAAGACACAGTACTTGACATCCACAATTTAAAGGATGGGTAGTTTATTTAGGCTCACAGTTTGTTGAGGTTTCAGGCCATAGTTGGCTGGCTTCAAGGTTGCATGGAAAAGAATTGTTCATGGTATGACAGGCAACAAGCAGAAAGAGACCAAGGGATGAGGGAGGGAGACAGAACCTTCCAGGCTACACCACAAGTAACCCCAAATAAACAATCCAAATAACCAGGCTTCACCTCCCAACATCACATTTAGCTGTAAGCTCATTAGTGGACTAATTCACAGATGAGTATCACAGCTCTATGATCTAATTACCTCCTAAAAGCTCCATCTATGAGTACATGGGACTTGGGGGGAACATCTAGATATAGCTAAACACCTAATATATAAACATGTTCAAGTGTCTCCCAGGAAAGGTGATCCTTGACTTTGTAACCCTGGATATTACTGTCCATTTTGGTCTTTTCTGTGAATTTTAAAAAAAGAAACAGTAAATTCATTATTCAGTCTCTACTACCTAGCTTTTAATTTATCTATAACCTTCTGATCCAGGAAACACTTTCTAATTTTTTTTTTTTTTGGTCTTTTCTGTTTTTATTGGTACCAGGGATTGAACTCACGACTGCCTGCTTGCAACGCAGGCGCTTATGCCACTGAGCTAAATCCCCAGCCCCAAACAGAATTTTTGAGGGGGATTAATGCAATGTCTTTTTTTTTTTTTTTTTTTTTGTCTTTTTCCTTTTTATTGGTACCAGGGATCGAACTTACGACTGCCTGCTTGCAAGGCAGGTGCTTATGCCGCTGAGCTAAATCCCCAGCCCCACACTTTCTAATTTTATTGTACTGTATCTCTCAGCTGCATTTGATATTTTTAATCCCCTCTGCCATTGTATTGGTGACTTCTGTGACACTGTACTGTGGTTCTTCTACTTTGCTGTTTTCTCTTCTTGGAAGATTTCTCTTCCTCTACTTGCCCCATTATTATCAGGGTATGAACAGAAAATGATCATTCACTCGAATTTGGATAATTTGATGAAAGTATGGGTAGGAGATTAAGGAACCTGGAGCTGACAGCAATCGAGTGATCACCAACCCTGGCCGAAGAAACAGAGGTAGTAGAGGTTACCGGAATACAGCACAATAATTGGGCAGGGTAAACTACGTAAGAGTAATGACTTTCAGTTGAAGGTTACCAGTTACCCAAGGCAACCTCACTGAAAGGAACCAGGAAAAATACCCCGATTGCCCTCCCCTTCCTACTTCCAGTCTCCTTATGGGGCTTCTCATTGATGGAACACATGTGGAAGCTAGAGGGCCTGTTGATGATATATGCCATACAAGTGGCCTTTGGGGGGAGAAAGCAGGGTGGAGAAAGGTGGGAAGGGGTAAGATGGAAGATAACTGTAATACTCTTGATGGATAGGTTAGACCCCTAGATTTCTAGCTCCAGTCTGACAGTTCTCATACTGTACTCATGCTGAGTACTCTCAAGTCTGTATCTCCAATTCTGCTATAAACTTTAGATCAATACATTTTGAATGGTTGCTTGATACTTCTTTTTTGTCTTTTTCCTTTTTATCGGTACCGGGGATCGAACTCACGACTGCCTGCTTGCAAGGCAGGTGCTTATGCCGCTGAGCTAAATCCCCAGCCCAGTTGCTTGATACTTCTAAATGGCTATTTTGAGATATGTCTTGACCAAAATAGAGCTCTTTATTCTCTTTCTTCCTAAACTAGCTCTTCTTCCAGCATTCCAAATCTTGGTGGTACTATCATTAACTTAACATCTCTCGAATTAAGGGAGATCTGGGTACCATCTTTGACTCTTCCCTTTTCCTTATACTTTATATTCAGTCTCACACCAGCTCTTGCAGATTTTGACTCTTAAATATTCCTCTGTGTTATTTTCTTTTTTTAATTTCTATTTATTTATTGTTTTTGGTTTTGGTTTTTGCTTTTTTGGTACTGGGGATTGAACTCACAACCTTGTGCTTGCCAGGTGCTTGTCCTGCTGAGCTAAATCCCTCCTTGTGTTTTCTTTTTTAAAAAGAATAAAACCAAACAAAATAAAGCTGAATAAAGCCAATCAAAGGAAAACAGTGAAAGTGATACTGGATTTCAAAACAAGGTAATAGGAAATCAACAATGGCTACCACAGTGCCTCTTGTTATCTTCAAAATAGCTGCCCATACCATCAGGCATAATAAAACAAACAAAACAGAACAGAATAAAACCAATCAAATCAACACAATGAAAATGATACAGGAGTTCAAAACAATATAATAGGAAATCCGCAAAGGCTGCCATAATATATCTTGTTCTATCATAATATATCATGTTATCTTTGAGATAGCTGCCTATGCCATCAGATGAAATAAAATCAAACAAAACAATGAAAATGATACAGGACTTTAAAGCAAGATAATGAGGAATTAACAATGGCTACCACCTTCAGAAGGAAATCCCACATAGTTGCTATACTGCATGTTGTTATTCTCCAAATAGATGCTCAGATCACCGCCTTATGCCTGAAAAATCAGTCAAATACTGAACACTATAAACACTAGGTTGGTTTTTTTCCTACCTCAGTAGCTATCATCCCAGCCTGTGTTTTCCAGATCAGCCAGTTGCTTTGGGGCTTGCTGGTGATGTTCTGCTCTTGTGCCTACCCTGCATGCTGGCCAGCTCACAAGAAGGGGTTGGCTTCTTGTTTTTCCCCCCCATGGCCCATGACTGTGGCTGACTCCTGTATTATTTTTTTTCATCCTCTCTACTACCATTCCTCCTTGTTAGACGTTATTGTCTCTTATCTTGATGGCTGTATCAGCCTTTTATTTGATTTCTGTATATTATGGCCTATAGATTTCTAGTTCAGTTACTAAGGGTCCATTAGTTTGCCTCTACCTGAAATGCTAATCTGACCAGAGATTGTCATTTCTCGGCTGAAACCATTCTATGATTCTACATTGTCTGAAGAATGAAATTCATATCTTCTTACCCATCCCCACTCCATGAGTATTATCTTTCATAGTTAACACTTTTACTAATGGGAGGATTATATTCCTCAAATTTGTGGTGCACAAATGCACTGTGCAATACAAAGGGTCACTTTAATATTAGCTCAGGGTTGCTTAGAACCTGAGCAAAAGTCAGGCTTATTCCCCCATCATTAGTGTGGGAGACTTGACTAAGGGATGAATGGTTAAACTGTGGAGCAAAAGCACGCAGGCTCTGTGAGAAGTGAAAGGTTAAGCAATAAGTTTAGATTAGTGATTGTTGTCCCATCCCTTTCCCCAAGAAAACTGCCTAGCTTTGAGACAAATCCTTGCCCAAACTGCTTTGTTCTCTTACACTGACTTTTTTAAAAAATATTTTTGAGACAGGGTCATGCTATATAGTTCATACTGGCCTTTAGCTCACTTTGTAGCCCAGGATGGTCTTGAACTTGTAGTGGTCCTTCTATCTCAGTCTCCCAAATGCTGGGATTACAGGTGTGTACCACCATGCCTGGCTTACTCTGATAGTTTATTTTATTTTATATTATATTATTTCATTTCATTTCATTGGTACTGGGAATCGAACTCAGGACCTCACACTTGCCAGGCAGGCACTATGCTGCTGAAGCTGTATTCCTGGCTACACCAATATTTTATGTAAAAATCTGAGTGCTTTGTGTTGCTCCTAGCAGTCTCCCCAACTCCTGGTACTTTTGGTTGAAACCTCTCTGACCCTCTTGGTAACTGAACTAAGTCTTGTCTCTAAATAATCTTTTATTCTCTATACTGCCATAGCTACACACTGTGACAGTTGTAACTTGGCTTCGGTAACAGGGTTAGCTAAATTCCCAGGACAATTGTGTTATTTAGGAATAGGTTTGGCTTTATATAATAATAATTTTTTAAAACTCATAGTGATTTAAACAAAAGCTTTCTCTCCCTCCTCCTTTCTCTCTCTCTCTCTCTCTCTCTCTCTCTCTCTCTCTCTCTCTCTCTTTCTCTCTTTCCTTTCCAGGAAAGATTCCAGGACTGATATGGCAACTCTGGAGTCATCAGGGCCCTGATGCTAGATCTTTTGACATGCTGGTATACTCATGGTCTAAGATGATACTCCAACTAACACATCATGCTCCAGGAACAGCAGGGGATAAGAAACTAAAGAACTAGGGGATTTAGCTTAACGGCATAAGTGCCTGCCTTGCAAGCAGGCAGTCGTGAGTTCGATCCCCGGTACCGATAAAAACGAAAAAGACAAAAAAAAAAAAAAAAAAGAAAGTAAAGAACTATTTCTCTTCAGGATATTTCTCTCTAAGGATATGTCCTGGGTGCTTTCATTTGCATTTCACTATCCATTGGCCAGAATTTGGCCATATGACCAAACCCAACTCAAAGAAAGGTGACAAATGTATTTCATGAGCTAGACTTACTGTTTCTCTAAATAAATTATTATTTTGTTGTAAAGAGATAGGGAAGCATTAGCTATTGGTGTTGGCAACTATAATTTTCTATAGCTCTTAGAAAGTTTTAGAAAATTTACTCTTTAAGAGCTATAAAAGAGCTGGATATGGTAGCACACACCTGTAATCCCATCACTCTTGGAGGCTGAGATAGGAGGATCATCCAAGTCCCATCTTAGCCCGGGAAGTTTAGCAAATTAGTGAGATTCTGTCAAACAAACAAACAAACAAACAGGTTGGGGATGTAGCTAAGTGCAGAGGCCCTGAGTTAAATCCCCAGTACAGCAAAACAAAACAAAGTATAAAATTATTTTTAAAATTCTATAAAAGGGCCAATTACAAAATTAATATGTAAGGATCAACAGCACTGCTATGTATAAAAATAACCAGTTAGAAAATATAAGAAATACTGGCTAAAGGTTTCTACCAGGTGGACATAAAAACAAAATCAGGCTAAATTTGGAAAATTTGTAAAATTACATTGAACTTTATTTGGGAAAATATGAGAATAAACAAATATATGAAAAAGAACATTGATGACAGATACCTTTCTCTAATAGATATTAAAAGTTTTAATAAAGCTTCAGCAGGTTGAATAGTTTAATATTAGAGGAATTAGATAAACAGAGCTGAATGGAATCTAGAAATACTATATTTAGACTATGGTATGGGTGATGTGTTAAGTCAGTAGGTAAAAGAATTATTTAGTAATGGTACTGATACAGTTCACTAGCCACCTGGAAAAATTAAAGCTAGAGTCTTTATCCAAATAAAAGGAACTAACCATGTTTACTTCTGTGCTAAGTCACATTAACATTTTAATGGGGGGACACACATATTCATACTATATCCTGGTCTATAGAGCTGAAGAGAACCATATAACTAGTCTAAGAATAGTTCTTTTTGACACTCATTTTGGTTATTTTGTCTATAAATCCAAATATGATTTCTATTAACTCATGCGTTTCAACATTTTCCATATATCCATCTATTAATATGACTGTCATTTTCCTTGAATGTTTTCTATACCAATCTTAGCTTCCAGCTGGACGTGGTGGTACACACGTATAATGCTAGCACTCAAGAAGCTGAGACAAGAAGATTGCTACAAGTCAAGGCCTGCATGGGCTACAAAGTGAGTTCAAGGCCAGCTTGAACTACATAATGAGACCCTGTCTCAAAAAAACAAAAAAACAAAACAAAAAAAAATCAACTTTAGCTTCTACTCTAACTCACTGTTGTATGGGACTTTTATCAGTATCTCTTTACATTCCATTTTCTAGTTCTGTCCTCAGATCTCTTCCTTCAATCATTTTTCTCTTTTTGCAGCATCTTATCATTGCATCAAATGGCAAGGTGGTTTTTGAGTGTTACTATACCAAAACTCGGTACTCCTCTTGCACTATTAGCTTTACTTAATAGAACACAGCTATTTCATATATTTATTCTCTTTCATTTCAGATTGTGGAGATGGGGACTGAGAACAAGGCATTGATTCCCAAGGAAGAAATTTCTGAAGAATCTCAGCCATGTGGACCAAAATTAGAAAAACTTCCAAGAGTGGTTTACCAAGGCCAAGAATTTGGAGCATCATGTGAACAAAACACATTAGAAAGACATTTGAGAGAGTCTGCAGAAGAGATTATGGAGCAGTCTCCTCAGGAGATGGACTTTACACCAGGGTTGATTATCTTTAAGAAGTCACCCTTAAGTGAGAAAGACCAGGAAAATAGTGAGAGTGAGAGAAGTTGCAGTCCCAGCCCAAATCTGGTGGCATATCAGGGAAATGCTGTAGCACAGAGAGTTAGTACATTTGGTATTGCTGGCCAAAACTTCATAGAGAATTTAGAACCTAACAAAACACAAAGGACATCTGTGGGAGAAAAGCCTCATACATGTAAAGAATGTGGAAAAGCCTTTAATCAGAATTCACATCTCATCCAGCATATGAGAGTTCACAGTGGAGAAAAACCCTTTGAATGCAAAGAATGTGGGAAGACATTTGGAACTAATTCGAGCCTTCGAAGGCATCTAAGAATTCATGCTGGAGAGAAGCCCTTTGCTTGTAATGAATGTGGAAAGGCTTTCATCCAGAGTTCCCATCTTATTCATCATTATAGAATTCATACAGGAGAGAGACCCTATAAATGTGAAGAATGTGGTAAAGCTTTCAGTCAGAATTCAGCCCTTATTTTACACCAGAGAATCCACACTGGAGAGAAACCTTATGAATGTAATGAATGTGGGAAGACATTTAGGGTTAGTTCACAGCTTATTCAGCATCAGAGAATTCATACTGAAGAAAGATATCATGAGTGTAATGAGTGTGGCAAAGCCTTCAAACATAGCTCAGGCCTTATTAGACACCAGAAAATCCATACTGGAGAAAAACCCTATCTGTGTAATGAATGTGGGAAAGGCTTTGGTCAGAGTTCTGAGCTTATCCGGCATCAAAGAATTCACACTGGGGACAAACCCTATGAATGTAATGAGTGTGGTAAAACTTTTGGCCAGAACTCAGAGATTATTAGGCATATTAGAATTCATACTGGTGAAAAGCCCTATGTGTGTAAAGAGTGTGGAAAGGCCTTTAGGGGAAATTCAGAACTTCTTAGACATGAGAGAATTCACACTGGAGAGAAACCTTATGAATGTTTTGAATGTGGGAAGGCTTTCAGACGGACTTCTCACCTTATTGTCCACCAGAGAATCCATACTGGAGAGAAACCTCATCAATGTAATGAGTGTGCAAGAACCTTTTGGGATAACTCTGAGTTGCTTCTTCACCAGAAAATTCATATTGGAGAGAAACCCTATGAATGTAATATGTGTGACAAAACATTCAGCCAGCACTCCCAACTTATCATACATCAGAGAATTCACACTGGAGAAAAGCCTTATGAATGCCAAGAGTGTCAGAAGACCTTTAGTCGGAGCTCTCACCTCCTCCGACATCAGAGTGTTCACTGTATGGAATGATCTGCAAAACAGGAAAGCCTTTTGGAAAAAGACTGAAGTTAGACTTACTCATTTATTCTTCATAATCTGCACCCCAAATTCTCAGATAAATGAGTGGGCAGAACCTCCTTGGTTCTGATTTTTATTTCAACAGTTGGTTTAAGAGGTCGAGGCACTTTTATGAACTATTGAGAAGTTTCAGTGTACTGAGTTAAATCATAAAAGCTGTTTCAGGCCTTAATTCTCCTCTGCCCCTCTTTCTTTCCTTTTCTTCCTCTTCCCCCAGTGGATCACATAACATTAGGGGTCTGTGCCTGCCATCTAGCCTGAATTGTTGTTCTTCATGAAAAGTGGAGGAGTATGATTTACTACCATGTAAGAATTACAGTTGACTCATTGAACATTATCCCCTAAAGTGTTAGAAAGTCATGGCCTAGAAGATGTATTTCATTCTTCTGCCTACTGTTTAGTCCTAGAATGATTATTAGTTTAAAAATCTTCCAGCCGTGCTGTCAAGTTCCCTTAGAAGATGGGAGGCTTAATGAAACTGTAGGAAGCATGGTTACTTTCACATTTCTTGGCAAACTTCATTCCTCTGAGAGGATGCCATGAAAGAGGGAACTAACAGGCAGTGTACAAGATTGTAAGTGAAGGCCTTAGAGTTCAGAGGGGCTAATTAGTACGGCCAGTGTATAGACAGTTGAGGCCCGCCTGGCTGAAGGGGCTCCTGAGCAGCTATCTGTACTTCAGGCTGCTAGGAATTCTGCATTCATTTTGGTTCTAGGTTCTTGTGTTTCAGGAAGTAGCAGAGCTGTTGCAGTTTCGCTTCTGCCAGATACCTGGCAAGAGTGGTGAGCCGATTCATCTAAGTAGGGCCTGACCTTGCCAGAGCACTTCATCTCTCATAACCGTGACCCCGCTCGTGGGAGTCCTTGCTGCTGGCCCTAGATGTGACAGCCCCTTCTTGGTTTGCTTGATGGTCTTGGATTTAATTTCTACAACCTCTCTGTCTCTCTCTCTGTTGTTCTACATGTTATCTGTTCTATAAGGAAACACATCTACTTTTCTTGTGTCCATGTTTCCAGGCAATCTGTGGTAGTGGGAATTGCACCAATGAGTATTCAGCAGGCCTGGGGTCTGTTCTCAGCTGGACCTTGAAAAAGACATTTCACCTGCCGGTCTGTAATTTTATTTGTCAGATGAGAGGAGTTGAACTAAATGATCTCCGAAGTTTGAACCGGCCAATAGTTCTTACTTTTTCTAAAAGTCAAACTTTATATATTTTCATTTTTCTATTCTTTAATATCTATTAACACTAATACTGACTACTAATATTTATTATTTATTATGCACCAGGCATAGTGCCTGACAGTTTACATGTTTATCTTCATAGCATCTTTATTGTGGGTACTATTTCAAAAAGCAGCTTTATTGAAATACAATTTACATACCATAAAATTACTTGTTTTAAGCGTTCAGTTGAATAGTTTTTAGTAAATGTACAAAGTTGTGCAACCATTAGTGACATGAGAATTCTTTCCCCAATTTAAAAAAATGAGGTGAGATAAACGGGACATAAATCACGCAGCTAGTACATAGTAGAGGCAAGACTCCAGACTCCTAGCCACAGTGCTGTGCTACAGATAGGCTGATTTATTACTGCCTTGTTTGAAGCTTTTGCACATTTTTCATTACTAATTACTACATAGATTTGAGTCTAATGAATCTAAAACATCTTTGGGAACATAACTGGTCATGGCCCAAATCCATAAATTGGGTTTATTTTGTATTCCAATATATGTTTTTCTCAGTTTCACGTGTTTGGCCTAATAAAAGGGCTGTGTGAACGAACATTTGATTATATGCAGTTTCTGAATCTTTCCAGATACCTCTGCCTCTTCGTTGTCAGACATTTGACAGGAGATGCTCTTTGACTTACCTCTCTCCTTAGTATGATTACAAGTGAAGTCAGCTTTCTTGTTTCTTTGTTGTTGCTCAAGCTCACACTGCCTGGACCAGTGGTGGTGAACCTGTGGCATGTGCTGCAGCAGGCTGCATCATTGATGTCTCCCATCTCTTTAACTTCTGTTTTTCTGTGTGTTCACATATTTTATTTTCACATTCATTTTTTCCTGACATAAAACTCAGTACCCCTTTAAGCTCTCTCCAAGGAATGTACCTACACATACACATCCATGGATAGTAAGACCTTTAAAGTGTATAAAAGTTGGAGAAGGGTTTATAGTGTATATTTTGTTGGACATTTTGCCCTCAGAAGCCCCTTCTAAGCAGATTTTTTTTTTTCCTGTCTTTCTCTCTCAGGGCCACCTTAGTTCCTTTTTCCCTCTTGTCCAATACACAATCCATTTACCCACATCCTCTGTACCTAGCTCGGTTACCTTAAATCTATCACTGCCCAGAAAGAAAAGGCCCTTATTTAACAGTCCCCTTAATTAAATGTTAGTAAGCAACTTTTGTTGTACCTGAGCATGTTCTTAAGAAGGGCAAGGTCTCATGTCATTCTCAGGAGAACCTTCCAAAGTACAGTGTTTTCCTAACAGAAATTCTGGTGAATGAAGTTACTCCATCTTAAGTACACTGTACACGTCCTGTAACCTCATTCCCTCTCCTGTTCACCTGTCACTTACCTCAGGAAGAAATGTTTTTTCTATTTGCCATCCTTGGCTCTTCAGCCTACGTGGAAATTATTATATTGTCATGATTTGGACTGGTAGTCATAACTTTGTGCAAGTAGAGTTATGTGAAGGAAAAGTAATGAATTTTCTTAATTTTAGACCCATTAAGGGTCTTAATTTTAGACTTCACAATCTCAGAGTGCTACTGAATATCCAGAAATGTCCTCCAGAATTTTTGAAGCCATGTCCATGTAATTTTATTCCTTATTTAACTAACTTTAGGTAAATAAAGTTTGTCTTTACAATTTCCCTTGTATGATGGCTTTATAATGTTTATTATTGCAAATTGCAATATGCTTCATTATGGTTTTAATATGACTGTACCAGTTTCACCCTCACTATGTAACCTTACCCAAGTCTCCTTACCCAAGTCAACCTTACCCAAGTCTCCCAACCTGCTGCTCGGGGAGCTTTTGGTTTTTAATACACTGTTCAAGCTGTCCATCCACTTTGCTTGGTGAGATCCTTTATCTGTCGTAACAGAAAACAGAGCTATTGCGTGTGCCTGTCTATATGTACGCACATTTTCCTTCCTTATGAACAATATACCTGGATGGACCTGTTTCTTTTTAATAAGCCATTGCTAAGATTTGAGAGCTGCTGCTAATTATCTAAAATTCTATTTTTACAGTGTTCTTCTAGTGACTTCTAAGGCAAATTCCTAAATTTTTAAATCAAGAATCTTTGAGAGAAGCTCTCCGGAGAAAAATGTACATAGAGGATCAGAGAATTCGTGGGCCTCCTTAAACCCATCCCTGTTAGTTCTTTATAGGTTCCCCAAAGTGAACATCTGACCAGAACAGTTCCCAGTAACTTCTACACTTCTTTGGTGCATTGCTCAGCTTTGGGGATGAAGCGATGTAAAAGGATCCGCCAGTGTGAAGTCCAGGAAAAGCCACGGAGAGGGGCAGGCGCTTCTGGTGATAAGCTGCGGTAGGGATTCCCGGAGAGGCCGCAGGCTCATCGCACAGCACCCCCGCTCGCTGCGGTAGGACGGGGCGCGCGTGTGCGGGTGTGCTGTGGGTGTGGAAGGCGGCAGTCAGCGCGGCGAGGCGGGAAGGACTTGGTGTTCAGTCCGCAGGGCAATCATCTCTCGCCCACCTCTGCCCAAGCTCCAGAGCTGGAATGGAGGCACGAAGGGAAGGGAAAAGGCAGCCTGAGGGGCGAGGCCGAGCCCGCTCCTCGCCAGGGCCCTGGGTGTCCCTTCCTGCGTCCTTGTCGCCCGGGCTGGAGCTTTGTTCAAGGAGTAGGTTGCGACTCCGTCTGTCTTGCAGTACCGGCCGGTGATACGTTCGTTTTTTCTTGTATTATAACATTCTGCAGGCCAATTTTCATTTAGTGGACCTAATCTTCGGTGCCCTCCAAGCCTCCAAAAGCGCCCAGCCACCAGCCGGGCTCGGGAACCGGCAGAAGCTGGAGGAGGAAAGAGGCAGCAGCCCCAACGCGGGTGTGAGAGTTTCTGTACTGGGGCCTTTCTAGGAGTCCACCTCTGTGCCTCAGGACTCCCCAGGACCTGGGGTGGGGCCGAGGGCCGAGGGGGGGCACGCCCTGTACTGATTAGCTGCGATCTGGCGGACACTGGTTCTAACTTTGAGACGCCGGCCAGTGCTCTCTGATCTGCATGCTGGGTCATCATACTCTTACTGCGATTTGCGGTTGGTGAACGTGTTTCACGTCCCAGGTTAGCATTCATTCAGCCGCGCCATAGCGCTAGCAAACCTGTTACATAATTAATAACTATTACAATTTAAGGTCGAAACAATGGCATCATGGTATGGAAGCCAGTATTGCCTTTAGAAAGAAAGAGGACACTGTTTTGAGACCCTGCAGGGACAAGTAGATGTGAGTTAACGAGTGCTGGTGTCCACGGTGTGTGTTGTATAATTTGAGATCTTTTGCTGAGAGAAGGTGATGATATGTTGGAAATGGGCAGAGATCTTGGACAGCTCCTGGGTGGATTATCCAGAGATTACAAAGAAAGGAGAAAAATGTTTGTTAGTGCTTATGGTGGCTAAAATGGACTGTGGCTGGGAATGAGCAGGGACATTGTGGGGAAAGACCTGGAGTCCTAAGCTGGAGGAGACTTCAGGTGACCAGAGGTTTCTCAGAATCAGAGTTCAGGTGAGTGAAAAACCTTACTAATGCAGCTAGTGTGGGAAGACCATGAGGTGGAATTCCTACCATGGAGTTCATCAGAAACTTCACACTGGAGAGACCCTTTGAATATCAATGTGGAAAAAGCTCTGGTCAGAGCTCTCACCAACTCTAGAATCAGCGTATACACACTGTCCACTAATCTGGGGATTTACTGACCATAGGACACTTGAAATTTTGTTTTGATCTTTCCTCTTCTGTCTTCCCCCTCCTTGGTAAATTAAGATTTATTTTTGAGTTTTTTTTTTTTTTTTTCTGAGATAGGGTCTCACTGTAGCGCAGGCTGGCCTTAAACTCACTTATATAGCCCAGTTCTGCCCAGACTGGCCTTGAACTCATGGTGATCCTCCTGCCTCAGCCTCCCAAGTGCTGGGATTACAGGTGTGCACCACCATGCCCGGCATTACTATTTAAGTCATAATTGTTAAAATTGTACAGATTAAAAAATTGTACAGGAACATTTCTATACTGTATATATTTTACTCCGATCATGTTTACACTCTTATCTTGGTATTTCCTCTTTGGGGGGTCATTCTGTTTTCCTGTTTCAGAATAGAAATAACTGTTGTTGAGTGTATCACATTCAGTTTAGAGTTGCCATTCAAAAATTAATAAACGAGTTCATTTGGTGGTATATGCTTCTAACTGCAAAATTCAAGCCCAGCCTGGGCTACATAGTGTTACAGGGTAGCCTGAACTAGAGTAAGGCTGTGTTACAAAGAAGATCAGGTCTTCTCCTTGTATCATTATTTCCGAAAAGCTCACGTATGTGTTTTACACATTACCTCTGTCTTCTTGGTTATAGTTTTTTCCTGAAATGAGTTTAGTCTGTCCGTTTTTCAGTACTGGGGCTTGAATCCAGGGATTGCTGAGTTATTCTCCAGCCCTTTAATTTTATTTCAAGACAAGGTCTTACTAAATTGATCAGGCTGAGTTCAAACGTGCGCTCCTTCATCAGCCTCCAGACTGCTGAGATTATGGGCAGTACACCACACAACTGGCACAAGCATAATTTCCTTAACTGTTTCTTTCTACCTGAAGCCGTCCCATGTCTCACAGGTGTCTGGTTACCTTTTCTTTCATGTTTCATTTTTAATATTTTCTATTTACTTTAACTTCTTGGACATGTAGACTCTCTTGTAAATCTAGTGTTGCAGTTTTTTTTTTCTTTTTTCTTAATGCCTTTAAATATTTTTGAGGTTTGTCCTGGAATTCAGTTATTTGGAAACAATTTTATTTATGTAGAGACAGGGTTGCTACACTGCTCATGTAGGCCCTGAACTCCAGGGCTCCAGTCACCTACTACTTCATCCTTCCAAGTGGCTAGCACTATGTGTGAGTGTCCAGCTTAGTTTGACCAAGCTTTCTTTTTGTTTTTTCTCCCCCCACCCCTAAACTCTGACAGGCTGGCCTTAAACTATATAACCTGGGTTGGTTTTGAATACAAGGTGATCCTCCTGCCTCAGCCTCCCGAGTGCTGGGATTATAGGTGTGCACCACCATACCTGACTCCTTTCTATCCCCCCTCCCCCACTTTTTTGGGTGGTACTGAACATTGATCCTAAGGCCTCCACACTGAGTTATAACCCAGCTTTTTTTTTTTCCTGGAGACAAGTTCTAAATTGCTAAATTGTTTAGGCTGGGCCCAAACTTGCAGTCCTCCTGCCTCAGCCTCCCAGAATGCTGGGATTAAAAGTATGTGCCACCATTCCTGGCTTTAAAGCCTACTTGTTGATGCTGGTAGTGACACTGCAGCATAACTTTCAGTAATTTTCAGGTGCCTGGAAGAAGAGAGACATTCAGGCTCCCAGGCTGATTCTCTTAACCCTAATTAAGCCCAACTGTCTGCCACAGCCCAGCGCTTTCCTTCCTATAGGTTCCATGGTCAGCAGCTCTCCTTGGCCACCCCCATGGCTTATGATCCACACTGCCCATATGGCAGCCACTCTGCCAACTGTGGCCTTCCAGGATCCAAGAACCCTAGCCTAAGCAGCTGTTTATAGTCCCTTGTGTGTGCCAGAGGCACACTGGGAAGGGCCTGCAGAATGGGACTTGGCTTCAAGTCCAAGGCTCCTGGGAAGGAAATCTAGAGGTTCTCCACTGTTTGGCCTGAGCATAAGGAGACTGAGTAGAGGGAGCAAGGGTGCTGGTTTCTGCCTGGCAAAGTCAGACCTACCGCACTGAGCCCGTTGCCCTTGCCCTCTTCATATCCTTTGATTCTCTCCTCTTCATCCCCATGGCCTCTCCATTTAGAACACTCTGTTACTTGCAAGTTATCGCAGCAACCTGTTTTCAGTTCTCCACACTGCAAGTTAAGTGATATTCTTAAGGTCACAACTGAATAACTGATGGGTCATTTCCCACTAACCACTCCCCACTGCTCTTAAAAGTCCCAAATCCTCTCTACAAGCCCCTATCTGCTAAATTTCAGTTCCCTGCTCCAACCTCATTTAATTTCCTTGCACTGAATACAATAGGTTTATGAGTTTTCCTCACCTCCTGGCCCGGAATCCCTCTCCCTCTTCTCCACCACCTACCCTCTCTTCTTCCTCAACCCTTCACATCCTTACCACTGCACTTGGATTGCACTTGTGTTGTCACAGCAGGCTTCTGTTAAGACACACACCCCAATATATGTAAGTCCCTGGTATTAGTCCCATCCCTCACTTAGCAGTGAATGTCTCTCAGGGAAAGGAATATGTCTTTCATTGTGATTTCCCTTGGAATTGGTTCACTGGACATGTATCTATGAATACACTGACAGAAAGCAGGAGGGTAGGCAGGGGTTTGTGACTTTCCCTGAAAATTAGTGACTTAAAAGTACTGCTCTCTTTCATTCACATTTCTTTACTCTGCTTATTTGATGCTTCCTAATTTTCATGAGATCCCTGGGAATGAGACTTTGAGATGGAACCCGTGGAGGCTGTTTATTGGGGAAAGCTCCCTGAGAGAAAAGGGTCCCTGGAAGGGCAGTGGGAGAAATTAAACAGTGATGCAACTCCAAGAGGGCTCCATCGGCTTCAGAGGAGTCTGGGAAGATCTGTCAGTGATGCCGGCCGATGCTCACTGTCATCTCCCTACTGCCGTGGATTGATGCAGGCTGCCCCTGAGAGACGATGTAAATAAGGCTACAGCTTCTTCCTTGGTTTAACAGTTCCTGGGAGAGGTCAGATGGCAGCAGGCAGCACGGATGACAGTGGGGTGAATCCTGTCGGCACACTCACAACCACATCCACTATACCAATTAAAGCTTCCTGATGAATGCAGGCGGAGAGACCATACATGGGTTCATACATATGCCAGCAATGTGAAGGACCTGGCACAGAGGAGGTATGTGCCCCCAAAGTCCCTACTATGGCCAGGTTCTTGACATTCTTGTTTATATGAAGAGCCACTTTAGTACTGGACTTGGGATCTGACTGGAAGCTTGCTCTCAAGAATCCACACACCACCACTACTGTGGTTACTGCCATTAAGGTGGCTTCCACCAACTGTACAGCAGTGTGCTCATTAGGGGTGACGGCACAGTGCAGAAGGCTGCTCAGCCAATATTTGCTCCACAGAAGAAACAGTGCTTCTGGCCTTGTAAGATAATTAAAAAGACAACTGTTGAGCTCCCTCTACCTCTCTCAACCCCTCTGCCAGTCTGTCATCCCAGGATGACTTCTGAATGCCACACCCCAGGAACCGTGGTGCGAGGAAAGCCTGACAGCAGGAAGATAGAACAGTGAAAGGATCCTGTTAGAGCAAATGCTCAGTCTAGTTTGTTCAGTCTGCTAGTTCCTTCACCGGTGGCTTCCTCCCACATCTTCATGATCACAGAGCCCTTGCCTGTTCCCAGAGACTTTTCTCTGGGAAAAGAAATGGGTATGATAAAGTACTCAGACAAAACTAAGATGTAAATGAAACTCTTAACTGTACTCCTTCCATAACTTTGGTTTCATTGTTAAGAGCCTTTGCTTATGATCCCTAAAGACAGGACCAGGAATCGACTAAAATTCTCATATTTTTCTCTTACTGTGGGTATAAAAGTGTCTCATTCATGTGTACTTCGTATTTCCCTTTGATGAGAGAGCTTTTCCCAGATGTGTAGCTGAGCAGGCAAGCTCTGGTAGGCAGAGATGAGTCCACATTTCTTATTAATCCAATCTCTGTCCATAAAACACTTGAGTGACCACTTCTTCCAGACCAGGTCACTAATACCTACTAGTGTATTAGCTGTAAAATCTCCACTTACGGTATTTACAAGGCAAACACAGGCTCCCCATTAGGTTCCCAAGATAAGTAACAGTCTTGTCTCCCTTTGTCCCCTGCTGTGGACAAAAGACCCTAATTTTTTCAGATTAGTTTGTTTAGCTGCAGAGCTAGGAACCTCCTGCTATCAGAATGAATTTCAAGGTGCAAATGTGCACAAGGCACTTACAGACACAGAAACAGGAACCAATTATTTTACAAGTAGGGTACCTTTAACTCCCTCCAGGATAAGGAACTAGTTCCTGAAACAATCACACTAAGCATACACTGGCTGCAGGATCTTCTTTTGCACTTAACAAAGGCAAGAGGTGGTTTCAGATCAGTATATTTTACCTACAAAATATTTTTTTCTGGTTTTACCTCTTTTCAGAATGCTGAATACATGGTTCTGTAGTCAGAATTATTCCTTGAGTGACCACCAAGGCCAGCACTCCAATCCAAATTTTTGACCTCTTATTCCCATCCTGCTTCCCAGCATCCAGCTTTTTCCTCTCTGAGACCAGAACTCTTCTTCTCTCATCAGTGAGCACCACTGGGTTGCAAAAATGTGAAGATGTCTTACGAAGTGGAAGACTCTTCATTGTCTCCACAAATTGTTTTCTTCTTGCCTGCACTGACAGTTTTTTTCTGTTGTTTTGGAGACAGGGTCTTACTATGTAGTTTAAGTTGGCCTTGAACTCACTATTTAGCCCAAGCTAACCTCAAGCTTGTGACATTCTCTTGCCTCAACCTCTCGAGTGCTAGAATTTGTGGCATGCTACCACCACGAATATTTTTAATTGGACAAATGGCCATCCTGCTAGAAATGTTTTCTAACTTCTGAGGAAGATAGATGTGGTCATGCAAGTGAGTCCTTGCCAAAGGACTGGGTTACTTTCCACAATGCTTACTGGAAAGGAAATCAATTCCTTGTGACTACTGCTTCAATTTTACTGTAAACTGGAATATAGGTACGGTAATGACCCAGTTTCAATCACCCAAACACACTAGCCCAAGCTGGGTGCACTGGTGTAACTAGAAGCCTGAAGCAGGAGAACTGCAAGTTCAAGCCCAGCTTGGGCAACCTAGTGAGATTCTGTCAAAATATATAAAAAAAAAAAAAGGGTTGGGAATGTAGCTCAGTCCTAGGGGGCTGGGGGAAAGGGTAGATATCCTAGCTCAGGGGAATGAAAAGCAAGACATAAAGTATGTGGTCTCTGAATTGTTTGGTGAAACTGAGCTGCCCACTGGAGCATGGGAGTTTTTCTGTGAAGGGCCATATGGTCCATATCTTCAGCTTTCTGTACCAGTCTGCTATTTTTAAACACGTAAAAAATATAAAAATTATTCTTAGCATTGTGCACTACATACAAACAGGCCATAGGCTAGATGTGACCTAATCCTTAAGCTGTAGTTTACTGATCATCTGCTCCCTCTGGATGTTTATGTGAGACAAAAATAAACTCAAAAGTTTTCTCTTAACACTGCAAGAGATCCAGATAAGCATGTGACTTATGTAACTACAAGGAAGAAAACATGAAGGCAGGAGATAGAGAGCAAGACAGAGCTCCTGACGTGGAGAGAACCTGGACATGCAGGCCAATGATCACTGTTTTGTCTCTCATCTCCAAATATGTTTTGCTTTATCATAAAATTTTTGTTGTTATTTTAGGTTTTTTTTTTGGTATTGGGAATTGAACTCAGGACCTTGCACTTGCCAGGCAGGCACTTGTGCCACTGTGCCACTAGGCTATATCCCCAGCTGTACTACTATATTCTTTTTGTTTTGTTTTGTTTCATTTTGGTACTGGGGATTGAACTCATGACCTCGCACTTGCCAGGTAGGTGCTTATACCACTGAGCTAAATCTCCAGCTCTACTGTTATATTCTTTAGAGATCTCATGATCTTCTGTATTATACAATCCCTTTTTACTAGTTAATATTTTTTCATCTTAAACTTTCCCTGTTTAATTTACTAGTGTGGCTTCCAACTCCTGTCTGGTTATTTGTAGATGATTTTGTTCAAGAACACAGACTATTATGTGTCTGAGGGAGACAGGACAAACAATTTCACAAGAAAATTTGAATATAATGATCACTGCTTGACCAGTTACTTTGACCCAGGAGTAGAACTCTTCTGAAGTAGGCATTACTATGCTCACTTTATTAGTGAGCAGCTCAGGAAGTTGTTCAAATTTATGCCAGAAAGGAGAAGCAGCACAATGTGGCTATTATTTGTAGCCAAAGTCATCTTAATCAAAAGATATAAAGTGATAATCTGCAGTAATGTGAAGTTTTTCCTAAATCAAGAAAGACACAGGAAAACCCTTAAGGTGCTTATAACTTTTATGGACGCTAGTTCTAAGTAATTAGACAAAAGTACAAGTCTGTCTGGAGACCGTCTCACCTGTGGTACACTGGGAAGGATCTTTGCTCTCATGAACTCTCTGATGTCTAATAAGCTCTGAACTCCATCTGTAAGCTTTTCCACATCCTTTACATATAAAAGGTTTCTCTCCACTGTGAATTCTCAGATGCTGACTTAGATACGAGCTTTGACTGAAAGCCTTCCCACACTCATTGCATTCGTAGGGCTTTTCTCCTGAATGAATCCTCCGATGCTGGACGAGATGAGCACCCCACCTGAAGGCCTTCCCACACTCATTACATTCATAGGGTTTCTCTCCTGTATGAATTCTCTGATGCTGAATGAGGTTTGAGCTCTGATTGAAAGTTTTTCCACAGTCACTACACCTAAAGGGTTTCTCTCCAGAATGAATTCTCTGGTGGATTACAAGATGTGAATTATAAATGAAGGCTTTCCCACATTCACTACATTCATGGTCTTTCTTCCCTGTGGGAGTTTTCTTATGGGTGACAACCATCTGTCTGAAACTTTTGTCCTGAGCAGGGGATGATCTTGATCTTTCCACTTTGGGATTTCTCTGCTGCTGTACTAAGGTGCCCTTGACTTCTTCAAATGTAGAGGTGTTAGTGACAAGGTTTTCCAGGACCATGTGTGACTCCACTTCAGTAACAGGTGGCTGAGGCAGTGATCCTTTGTCTTTAAGTTCTGGAAGATCTTCTGTAATGACTGATGGAAAATTTAAGTGTACCTGTTCTGGATGTATGGAAAAATGACACATAGGTTAGTATTTACGTATCTGAGATGAAAAAATATTATTTACACACATATATATATAAAATATTTACTTAGATATTATCAATGGTTATTCTCTAAGTGATAGAATTATGCAGGGGAGAGGTTTTTTTTCCCTCTCTTTTTATCCTTGTTTATAGTTTTTAAAGTACTGCAGAGTGGAATACTTAAAAAGTGTACTTAAAAGATAAATTTCAAAGCAGGGACTACTTAGAATACACTCTTAAAAAATAAAAGTATTTTTAAGCAATTGGGAGTGGTCAACTTTTGTTGGAAAGGAAAAAATAAGACAGGAGAATCTTTGGGGTTAAGGAAACGATGTCCTAAAGGCAAAAAGAGTGCCTTTCCTGGCTCTGAAACCTTCACCTCTTTGCATTCCTGACCTTCCTTGTAAGTCGCCAGATGCTGAAGTCATGCAGCTAGCTTCTCAAAGGGAGAACTCAGCTCCCTGCCATCTATCTGCTCAGTGCTCTCTGCCTTTCCTTGTGATCTGTTCCTTTAAAAAGAAAGAGAGCACCTCCTTTTTTTCTCCCCCGAGCCTGAGGATTAAGCCCAGCCGTATGGAGAGAAAGACAGGATGTTTGGGAGATATGTACAGGTTAAGGAGGCCGTTTCCATAGTTAATTTGAAGGGTAGAAAGTAAGTGCAGGCATAAAGGAGTTTCAAAAAAAGGTTTTAGGTGGGAGCAGGGAAAGGTGGTAGATAAAGATGACACACAGTGTCTCTCATAGAAAAGCTTCACAGATTTAAAAAAGTGTGTTTTGGGGAGCATGAGGAAGCTAAAAGGAAAATATTTCAAGGCTAGTTTTTAGCTCAGGGCAGAGCTACTATGGTCTAGGTGTCAACAGCAATAAAGATAAAGAAGCATGAAATGAATGAACACTTTATAGTCCTGCTTTAAGGTTCCCTAAAACTAACAGATGCTAGTCAGTCTTTATAGCCAGCCATATGTTAGATTTAACCCACAGAACTATCTTATGAAGTAAATTACTCTTTTTTTTTTTTGTGGGGTGTTAGGGACTAAACCTAGGACCTCTCACATGCTAGACAAGTGCTAAACTATTGAGCTATACTTCCAACCCCAAGGCAGATTATTTTTATTCCTAATTTTAGCATGATGAGACAGGTTAACTCAGTTAGGCACAAAAAGATCATAATGATGCTAGTAAATAGAAGCATCTAACATGCACCATTTATAAGGCAGTAAATAGTATCTTTTATTCTTTGCTTCTTCTCCCTCCCCAGAATTCTGCTCCTCACCACTCTCTGGGGAGAGCCGGGTCTCCTGAAATTCACACTTGAGCTGGGTCTCGTCAGACTGGAGCTGGATGCCTGCTGCTTGTTCTGGTTCCAGAGTTACCTTCTTCTCCCATGGCTCTTCCTGTGCAGGGCCTGGAACCTGCAGGCGATCAGGCACCACCCATTTTATTCAGGACCAATGCTTCCAAAGGAGACGTTAGAGAGCCTCCTTAGAGTCAGCACAGGGGAAGGAAGAGGAGTTACGAGTCTGTTTCTCATTCAAAGGTTGAAGGCAGAAAAGACAGAGACAGAAACTCGTATTAACTGTTCTACCTTGGCAACTTCCCCTACTGCTGCCTCTCTGTCCAGCATGAAGGTCACCAATCTGGCTCCCACAACAAATCAAATCCCCCTTCCCACCTGCAATCCTGGTTCAAGTCCTTTCTCTAAGTCCTCCAGCACAGTCACGGCCTCCTCTCCACTCTTAGGGTGATGTCCCCGTACCCAGGACTGAAGCTTCTCAGGCAGGATGGTCAGGAATTGCTCCAGCACCAGTAACTCCAGGATCTGCTCCTTGGTATGTCTCTCTGGCCTCAGCCACTCACAACAGAGTACCCGTAGCTGGCACAAGGCCTCCCGGGGACCAGGAACCTCCTGGTAGCAGAGCTGTCTAAAGCGCTGGCGGAAGATCTCTTGACTGGTAGAGTGGTTCCCTGGTAGCTTGCTTTCATAGTCCCAAGACTGCTCCTCTTCTTTTGGCTCCAACATCATCATCTCTTGTTTCTGTGTACCCTGAAGCACCAGCTGTCAGTGACTAGCTTTGCAGAAAGTCCATATCAGGTGCAATCTTTTAGGGCCACCCTGTAACAATATGAAATCTTTTGTCATTCCCCCACCCATTCACTCAACGCATACTTGGTAGCTATAACGAGTCAAACCTGTATAATATAGGCTTTACTCTCTCTTTCTCCTCCAGTCTTCCCCTGGCCCCTGTTCACTGAAATCACTCCTTTAGAGAAACTTACAGAAGACAGACGTGACACTGAGAAGAAGCAAGTATGAAGCAAAACGCACGTGTGTCGATTCCAAGCCCCAGGGAATTTCAGTGTGTGGTGCAGGGGAGGAGGACTTCCAGATGACCCTGCCACCCTTTCTCAAAACTCTGCAGTAGTGCTACAGCCCAAGAAAAATGCAAGTCCCTTAAGATTTGAAGCAGAACCATGTTAAATGGTAGTTATGATCAAGAGGCTTGTTCTGCAGAGTACAGGGTCCGAGGGATCTAAACGGAAAGGAGGCAACACATCCTGAGGCCACGAAAGCACCACTCAAAGGTACTTCTGGCTGAGGACAAAGGAGGCGCGCCACAAACACAGCCGGTGTTTCAGAGAGATGCTCTGGCCCAGCCTGTGCCCGGCAGAACTTTAGTCCCCAGCCTGGTCAGGTCACCACCCCAAAGCCCAGGGGAGCAGCTGTGGTGCTAACCAGGAGCAACACCCCATTCCCACCTTTTAATTTTGCCCTCTGAGCGCTAGCGAAAAGCAAAGGACAGGAGACTTTCCCCAGTGCCCTCCCCAGCACTCACGCGGCGCAGGCAGCAGACCGCGGGTTAGTAGGGACCCAAACCCTGGTCCGCACAATTCCGCACAGCTGCCTGCGAGGCTTGCTTCGAGCAGAACTTCCGTTGTGCGCAGTGACCAACAAAAGCGGTCGGGCCAGCGAGATGGCGTGAATCCTGGTGCCGCCTCCAAGACTCACCTCGCAGGCCCGGAGAGTTCCATGGGTACCGCGCTGCTCCCACCGCCTCCGCTAGCGGTCCGAGCCTGCGCAGTCGCGACGCGACTTCATTTCCCAGAAGCCTCCGCGCCACCCTCTGGCATTGGAGGACTCCGGAGGGAGGAAGCCTGCCCTCCCCACTTTGTGCCTGGACTGCAGGCTGTCGGGTGTTTTGGAGGCCCCTGGGAACTGCAGTTCATGGGTACAGCAGAGGCAGGCGACGCCCGCTAGAGCGGCGTGTCTTGCTTTATGAATTGCACCCTTTAGTGACCTGTAGTCCTAGAGAAATGCTTGTGAAACTCGAGCCTTAAGCATGGTCCCATTGTGTTATTTTCTAGTTAGGCTTCCCAGACCTGAATAGAGGTTCACAGCTGGGCAAGAAATCCTCCCCAGGAGAAAATAAATATTCGTCAACCACCCATCTGCCTTCCCAATAAACAATTCCTGGGATATAGGGAATAGGGAGAAGAAAGAAAAATTGTAAGATCTCATTTTATTGTAGGGAGAATAGGGCTTGTCAATAAGAGATATTACTGCTTTCTTGAGAAAGATGCATCTGATTTTGAGCGTAGGAAAGGTAACCATTATGAGAACATAAGAGTACAGTTGGTTGTCCAGTAGGCGCCAGGTGATTATGGACTGAAACCTCTACATACTAAGAGCTAAATAAACCTTTCTAAGCACTAAGGAGTAATAAAATCCAAGATGTGTAAATTTTGTTGTAAAAAAGAGAGGGAAAAAAAAAAAAAGAAAAGGAGCTCTAACGGATATAACAGCAAGTGTGTTTGGGGGTGTTAAATAGCTGACTTTATCAATGTTTTTGGAACATTGAACACAGCTGTTTGCAGTCTCCCTGTTTGAATGTCCACCTTGTGTTCTTTGATACTGTGATTTGAGGAACTATTTTCAAGAAAATAGTGTGTAATCTACTAGCAGGTAATTTCTTACTGTTATGGTTTTTTGTTTTGTTTTGTTTTGTTTTGTTTTGTTTTGTAGTTCTGTATTGCGTGTACCCTTACGCCGCTTTGGTTTGTTTTGTGTTTTTCTCTTTTTCCTCTTAAATAAAAAAAAAAAAATAAATAAACCTTTCCTCCTTTAACCTTAGATGTTGAATGTTTCAGCAACAAGAAAAGTAACTAAAGCAGAATTTCGTACGAGGAGTGGGGTCATTGTTGTGACTATACCTGACCATGTGGTTCAGGAACCTTTGGGACTGGCATGTTAGAAAAATTTGCAAAAGTTTGGAGACTGAAAAATAAAGCTGGAGCACTTTAGGCTGTATTTGATGGAAGATTCTGGTCAGAGGTCAGAAGACCAGAAAGGTGATAGAAATCCTTGTGGTAAAGACCACATGTGGGAAATTTCTGCTAGGAAGGAAGACTGCATTAGTTGTTAGATGCCAGATAATATGTTATAGCTTGGCAGAAAGTTTGTCTGCATTTTGCTTATGTTTAGAGACCTTGTGAGACTCAGATTAAGGGCAGCAAACTAATTAATCTTGCAGAAGAAATTTCAAGCCAGAGTAATGTTGAGGCAGTGTTGGCTATTTTTGGGAGCTTTTAGCCAGATTTACGTTATGAATCAAGAGCAAAGAGCCCAGCAGGGTGATTTGAAACATTGTGAATTTGGCCAGAAAGTAAGCTCCAGTAAAGTTATGGTCTGCAAACATGGAAGAGAGGAGAAATTGGTCACTAAAACATTAGCAAGAAAAAGCCAGGTATTTCAGGAAAAGACAGAAAAGATGGACTGAGGAGATCACAAAGGCCAACAGGGTTCTAGCCTTTGTAGCCTCAGAGTTGAACAGGTGAAAAACTTTGATTTGAGTCGAGAGCCCCAGTGAACCATGTTCCAGAAAGGCAGTGACCTAGGCAAACTGTTTCTTGGGATTTTGTTCATAGACATTCAATGCCTACAGCCAAGAGAGAAAAAAGCCTGGCTACTGCCCCAGCTGGCAGCAGACCTTGGCGTCATTTACATGGTGATGGTTTTAGATGGATGCATAATGCAAGAGTTGTGGGCTTCTACTCAACTTTCAGAAGGCTTATTAGGCCAGGAAGTGTGCTTCTGAGAGGGCAGCATATGAAGCAGTGAATGTGAAAGGTGCCCAAAATTTTGGAGAAACCAAGAATATGGATCTGAGGAAAACTGCTAGGAGAGAGCAGAACTGGATCAAAAGAGAGGTCACGTGACTACAACTATCAGAAGTGCCACAGGAAAAGAACCATCCAAGTCCTTTGAAAGTCACATCTTGTCACAGATTGCCTTGGATGATGGACATAGAACTGTAAGACTTGTCTTGCTAGGTCTTCACCTTACTTTGGTTCCGTTTCTTTGTATCCCCTTCTTTGTACCTTTTGGAAAGGTAATGTTTATCTCATGTCATTGATTGTTGGAAGTATTTAACTTCCTTTTCATTTGTACAGGGGCTTGCAGCTAAGAATTTGCTTTAAATCTCAGAAGAGACTTTAAATTTACACTTCAGCAGTTCTGAAACTGTTAGGACTTTGGTGACTCGGAGAGATGAGCTAAATGCATTTAGTTCAGGAATGTGAATCAGTCTTGGGGGGGCAGGGACAGAATGTTATGGCTCATGTCTAGATGTCCCCCCACCAAAGCCTCATGCAGTTATAGTTGGGGCTTTCTCAGAGTTGACTGGATCTAAAATGTGTGATCCTTGGGTTAATGGTGTGTGATTACTAAATAAGTCTACTGATTAGTAATCCCAATAGCCTAGATACAGTATAAAAGGGGTTGAAAGGGGCTGGAGATTTAGCTCAGCAGCATAAGCACCTGCCCTGTAAGCAAGCAGTCATGAGTTCGATCCCCAGTACTGATAAAAAGGAAAAAGATAAAAAAAGGGGGGGGGGTTGAAAGATGCAGTTAGGATTCCTTGATTGCTTGCTTGGTTTTTGTTAATTATATTTTATTTATTTTTATTTTAAAGAGAGTAAAACCTAACAAATTAAAACAGAATAAAGGCAATCAAAACTGAACAGTGAAAGTGATGTAGAACTTCAAAACAGGATAAGAAATCAAGAATAGCTACCATAATATATCTTGTTGTCTTCAAAATAGTTGTCCAGATCTTCAGACATAGTAAAATCAAATAAAACAAAACAGAATAAAACCAATCAAAACAGAATATTGAATAAAACGACACAATGAAGCAGAACAAAACAAATCAGTGAAAACAATATTGAATTTCAAAAACAAAACAGAAGGAAATCTCGCATATTGCATATTTCCTTATTGCATACTGTAACCTCCCAAGAGATGCTCAGATCGCTGGTTCCCATTTGCTAATGGGGGACAGGGGAAGTGGGATGTTTGACTTTTAGCCCGTGCACTGGTGAGGCCCCAGTCCCATAAAGCAAGAGAAACAAGGCCAAATGATTAATACAGATAAAAATGAATTAATGAAATTGAAAAATAAAAATTAATGGTAAAGTTAAACACTGGTTCATTTGAAAAGAGCATTAAAGTAAACTTCTTGGAGCATGATTAAGGAAAAGCAAATAATCAGTATTAAGAATGAGAAAGTATAACCATAGAATCAAGAGAGATTTTAAAAATTGAAGACTTAAATTTAGCTTTAGTGTAGTACATTTAAAAACTAGATTAAGTGCTTGATTTTCTAGTAAAGTAAATTACTAAGATTGTGCATATTAGTTAAATGTTTATAAAACAACCCTGATTCAGAAGTAGAAGATCCCAAGAAAATGGTAGAGAATTTAGATATTACTTGAGGCACTATTTTCAGAAAAACAACATTTTTAAATGAGAATCTTTATAGTGTTCAAGTAGAAACTAACCACTAAGGTAATTTGAAATAAATGGATACTTGCCTAAGCAAAACATAGATTAACTTGAGATTTTTCTGCAATGCATACAGCTTATTTTATATTTAGAAAGATAAGAAAAGCAAGTAGTTGGTTTTCTTGGGATGGCAATACCTAGGTTGCTTTGGAGTCATTTACAATACTATGGCCCAATCCTGAACAAATGGGTACTGGGCTAAATATACCTAATTCCACAGTACATACTGGATCCAACCACAGAGGTGGTTGGACCCTGAGACAGAGGCAAAGCCAATAGTCACACCCAGAAGACAACACTGAAAAGAGACATTTAACTAAAGAGACTTTCATACTAGAAACAAAGCTTTTCACTACAATTAACCCATAAGTCTCAACATAAAAACAAACAAAAAATAGAAACAAGAGAAGACAAGCCAACCAAATGTCTTCTAAAACTCTCAACTCCTGCAAAGCTAATACATGGGGACAGGAGACAGGAGGAAACCAGCAGCTACACATCCAATTATTAGGGGGAGATAACAAAACAGGTGAATACGGCATTTGGCAAGCCTAACCCTAAGTAAAAAAATATTGGGCCAGATATACAGAATAATCAGCAAGTCTACAGAAGACACTAACAAAAAGCTAGCAGAGCTAAACAAAATGAAGGAAAATATGTATGAATGACAGCACAGAAAGGAATTTTGTCCGTAAAAGACTTAAATTTAGGAAATTAAAAATTCTTTCCAAAGTATGATCACTATGAAGACAGAGTGTCAGAACTAGAAGACAGCTGTTCTCAGTGACCAATTAGCGAGAGATACGTTAACAACAAAAAGAGAACATGAACAATTAATCCAACAGCTCATAGATGACACCGGGAAGAATAAGATAATTGGAATTGGTGAAAATGAGATAACACGAATAGCATAAAAACCTGTTTAATAGAATAATAGCAGAAAACTTTCCAACAAGGGGAAAGAATTTAATGTACAAACAAATGAGACATACAACATCGCAAATAGCCATGATAGAAAAGAACCTCTCTATGGCACACCTTTTTTTTCCCATGACACATCTAAATCAAAATCCCAGAAGTCTAAAGAAAGTACAGAATTTTAAAGATGTTAGAGAAAGCAATGAATTATCTATAAAGGT